TTGCCTCACGTCATCTGTTATACTACTCTCTGGATTTGCCTAATGTCATCTGTTATATTGCCGCACGCTTGGTGCATGTCGCCGTATAATCCTACGGCCAGCTACGACACAATATCTTTAATATATGCAAATGCACCGCAGCTGTCACTTCAGCATAGGATGCATAATGCATGCAGTAACCCTACCAAGAGGACCCCCCCCCCCCCACCCCCCAACTTAATGTCATTTTTTTTACCGTAGCCTTGAAATATTTTTTTTTTACGTAAGGTGGTGTTAAAATAATGTGTTTTAAATCTCTTTGTTCCGTTTCTTCCTGATGTAGGATATAAATTCTCGGAAACTTAATGCTTTTTTTTAATTTAACCGTCGCATGCGTTGGGTGATTTGACTAGTTGAACGCGGCAGCGCTGTGGGTTGTTTGGTTAACTATAGGTTACCCTAGGGGTGGTAGAGATTTAAGGTGTATTTGGTGGTTGTGTGTTCAGATTGAAGGTTTTTCAGGGTGTGGGGTTAAAGGTTGTGGGGTTTTGGGGATGTAGGATATAGGGTTGCAGAGGGTTTGAAGGTGTTGGGTTTAGCAATGTAAAGTTTCGGGGATGTTGAATGTACTAATGTAAGGTTGGGGTGGGGTGTTAGGTTTAGGGGTGTAGCTTTTTGGGGAAGTAGGGTTTGGGAAAGGAATGGTGGTGTGGTGTAAGGTTTATAGGCGTAGAATTTTGGGGATGTAGGGTTTCCAAGGTGTATGATTTAGAAATGCAGTGTTTTGAGAATGTCATATTTCAGCTTGTAATGATATGTTTCGGATATGTTTCAATTAACGTGTCGTATATTTTTTTCTTAGGGTTTAAGACTGGCCTTTTGATCTATTGCTTAAAAAAAATAGCGTTGCATATTGAACAATAGCCTTCCAAATGGGGAAAAAAAATCAATAACATAATCATAAAACATGGTTAACCTGTTATTGCCTGTATAAAAAACGCCCCGAACGATTACGAATTCTACACGCGCTAACACCTGATTTAATTACGATCTCTCTACAAGTATCGTTAACTCCTGCACGCCCTGCTTGTATACATGCTAATTAGTTTTCACTTTTTAATCAAACTAATTCGAAACCACCTCCCCCGGTCATGCGGAGCTGCCGCATATTGATCTAACTATGATGCTGTAACATTAAATCACCTTGATCATTGTCGTGGTGTTGCACACAGCCCACTTAACGCCTAGTGAGGTGTTGGGGTGGGGGGGGGGGTGTAAAGGACAATAGCTCCGTGAACAAAAGTTCACGTGGCGATTGTTCTCACCTGAACGTCTCGGTGCCAGCCAGCTGACGGATGCCCCGTGACGTAAGGTCAAGGCCGGACCGTGAATGGTTCACGCTCCAGTGATTCCGCACGTGTTTTACGTGAGCGAAATGATCAATCGCGGCCTGTTAATGTGTGTCAACATGAATTGTTGCAGACTAGAGGAGATGTTGGATTAGCTGTTGTTGACTAGAGGAGATGTTGGATTAGCTGTTGTTGACTAGAGGAGATGTTGGATTAGCTGTTGTTGACTAGGGGAGATGTTGGATTAGCTGTTGTTGACTAGGGGAGATGTTGGATTAGCTGTTGTTGACTAGGGGAGATGTTGGATTAGCTGTTGTTGACTAGGGGAGATGTTGAATTAGCTGTTGTTGACTAGGGGAGATGTTGGATTAGCTGTTGTAGACTAGAGGAGATGTTGGATTAGCTGTTGTTGACTAGGGGAGATGTTGGATTAGCTGTTGTTGACTAGGGGAGATGTTGGATTAGCTGTTGTTGACTAGGGGAGATTTTGGATTAGCTGTTGTTGTCTAGGGGAGATGTTGGATTAGCTGTTGTTGACTAGGGGAGATGTTGGATTAGCTGTTGTTGACTAGGGGAGATGTTGGATTAGCTGTTGTTGACTAGGGGAAATGTTGGATTAGCTGTTGTTGTCTAGGGGAGATGTTGGATTAGCTGTACCTTCATCAAGCTGTTAGGCATAGAGACTCAAACAACGTACAGACGTATTATTTGCCAGTTTTTTTCCACCGTGCCCTAATTCTAGTTTTTAATCGTAATCCTAACACACACGAGAATTCAAACCCTTATCTAAGAAGCGATACTGAATGAATGAAAACATCTATGTTCAACTTTCTTACACACTAGCGTTTTATGGCTTAAAATAAGGAACCCAGTTTGGTTTGTAGTTCGGACGGGGCTGTGAGCTGTAATTATTTTCTAACAGTCTGTCTTAAAGACCTTGAATTAGTAAAAGTATATTGTTACTTTTGTAAGTTAAACTAACAAAGAAATATATCAATGTAAATGTACCAAATATGATACTCATTAGCACATTAAACTCGTAAGAAATGGTCGATTTGATTGTTTTCATAATTTTTTTTTCGGACGGCGTGGCCGGATGGGAAAATACGACTATCAACCCGAAAGTCTCGAGTTTGAATCCCTGGTTTTTGCCAGCAAAATGTTCCTGAGTCCGCCCAGCTCTGATGGGTACCTGACTCACGTTTGTAAAACTTAAGCTGCTGGGCATAATGCTGAACTCGCTATCCCTTCATACGCTTATGTCAATAAAATCAGACGGACCGTTCTTTAGAATCTAAAATGTAGGAGACTTATCGTAGGTAATTTTCACACATTTAGTACTGTAACCAGATTCGATGATTATTTTCCCAGTGTATCTATTGACTTGTATTGATCTGTAAAAAATTTAATCAATCCCCCCCCCCCCCCCCCCCCAACCCTACTCGATCCCCTCCCACGTTACACTCACCTTATCTCCCCTGAAATTCTCTTTGAACTCCCAACTTCAATAGATTGTCCCCACACCTGCCCGTCTCGAACAGACGACCATGGATAATCCCCCCTTATCAAACCTTACGTCGATTATCCCCCTTATTAAATTCTGCGTGCATTATTTCCCCTTATTAAAATTTACGTGCATTATCCCTCCTTATCAAACCCATGTGTATTATCCCCCTTATTAAAAATGTACGTATATTACCCTCACAACCCCTCTTTGTTAAAGTTTTCGCGAATTGTTCCCCTTTAAAAAAATCCTTGTATTATCCCCCTTTTAAATTTTTTCCTGTATTACCCCCCTTTATTAAATTTCGCGTTTAATCTTTCCGTCACGGTTAACGATCTTTGGTCACGTGCTCGCCTGTTTACGTTATTGTTCTACCTTTGTTTCCCGCCATGCAACCGGGACTGAAACGGTTTTAAAAAGATCCACATCCGATAAAAACTTCCACGTAGCAGATCAAAGGGGGCGGGGTCATTGTCAAGTCGTGAACAGAATTTATTTATATGGAATAGAAACGGGGATGACACTAGGATGGATGGATTAGAAATCGAAGTTCTGGATTGGTGATCACAGGAACGGTGGTCTGTGGGGGTCGATTGTGGGGGGTAGATTGAGAGATAGATTATGAGGGGACGCTGATCATTTCTCTTTGTTCTATGTTATTTACTATTTAAATGAGGGTTTTTTTTAATGACAAAATAAATTATCTCACCAAACAGGTGTTAGTTCAAAGAGTAAAATTAATTAAGGTGGAATTTTAATGAAACGGTTATCGCACCTGATAGTGGTTATACGAGCAGGTGACGTAGAGTTAATGTTTGCGTGTAATCGAAATTTATAATGAAAAATATTTGCGAGAGGACTCGATGTATAGTTAACCAATCTTATGTGTGCTGACGAAGACCTTGGGTCGGAACGTCCATTATAACGTTGGTTGCCTTTAATTTGTGAGGATACTAAAACTACCCGATTTATTACTATTATGTTATTGTTATATTTTAGTAACGAAATCGATTTTGTTTTGTTATTGGTTAACCTGATAAAATAGTATTTTTTTTTTTGCTTTTGGATATTGTTTACTTTTACATATTCAATAATAATATTCTGTCTGGTTTTACGCATGGTTAGGTTTATAATGCAGATCTAATAAGTAGAATACGCTGGTACAGAAAGGTTTCTAAAGAAATAACTAGGGAGTAAATAAAACCAGAAATAGGAGGGTTAAATTAAGACCTATGTAATGCAAAGGGTTAACAGATAATTTCCTTTCAATTGAACTTGATGTGCGACGAAGAGTGAAGAAAAACAGACCTCTGGGGAGAGATAAAGACGTGTCGGAAATTATGGGATATGTGGCTTTGAAGTTGGCCGGTGTTGTGTTTGTACCGATAGCGGTAATTAGATTGGTTTAGGTTTTCGCTTGTCCGGGATATCTTTGCGGAACTTTAAAACCCGATGTGTAACTATCGCTGAAAACTAGAATTTCGTGTTTTGTTTTGTTTTTGGATCAAAGAGGGTAGATAAGCGACGTTTGCGTCAGTGATAGGTAATTCTCGTGTATTTCAAAACATGGGCGATAACTTTGAATTTGGTGGGGTTTTTTTCATAAAAGGGAAATAACTCTGGTGAATACAGTTTAGATATTACATACATCTGTTGTTGTGTTGTTTTTTTTTAAGCTAAGTGAAATGTTGTACAAATAGAGTTAGATTTCACCAACACTGGCTAGTGACTCGATACATCCCTGTGTTGCCGCCATCTGCTCCCAAAAGATCAAGCGATAGCAGACTATAATGTGTTTGACACGCTGCACCGTTTCAAAACCGTTTGGATTTCCAAAACCCCGAACCACGTCTGCCTGATGCTTGTGTGATATAAATAGTAACAAAAACAACGGCATCTAGAACATCGTGTACTCGTTTAATTTAGACCCTGTCTTTGATCTCTTCGCCACGCACGGGGGAAATATGTGACCACCACCGACACGACGGAGAAATATGTCACCGACACGGCGAGATTCGAGTATGTTTTTACAAGGATTATTCTGGACTCGATTCCCACATATTCGATACCGCAAGGTGTTTTTAAAGGAAACAGTTATAGCCTTGTGGTTTTAAATTAAAAAAAAAAAATTTAAGTTTGTGTCGTCGGTGTTGTGATACTGTTTTTTTTTTTGACACCGGAAATGCGGCATCGAGGCTTGGCTACGTCTGGTAACCAGGCAACCGACGCTAAGCCCGCACGGCGTCATTATTCTGTTAAAGGATTACTGTGTGGGATTAAACGATGCTCCTCCATTGTCTTGGTAAGAAATTTTTGAAACCTAAGTTTGCACATATACATAACGAAACGGCTTATACGCATTCACACAAAAGCACAAGTGCATATACACGTACATACATGTACATACATTACACACACAACGCATGAATACAAATATAAACATACACACGACGCACACACCATTTATGCACATACATTTACACTTTTACTCGCCATAATTCCTGTTGTAAGAAAAATAACTTTTAAATTTGAGGTTAGGTTTAACATAGATCTAGGTTTATTGCCACGACTAAACCTAGCGCTTTTGAAAGATTTGGGTAAGGTATTATCTGAGATATTGATAACATCTCGTTTTATTGTCTCAGTTATAACGTGAGGTTTCCATTGTTCAGTTAATCCGTTTATAAAACTGTGACTGTACCAGGTCTATGTTATTTTAGGTTCTTATTGTATCAAATTAAAATGTATTTTATGTAAAAAAAAATATTTCCTGCAATAGTTGTCACCCCTGGTGGATAAAATTATCTCCCTTGTCATAAACATATCACACATATCATCTTATTTATACGGAATGGAGGATATTAGTTGCTGCCCCTGACAATACCCACACCTCATACAGTTATCTGCACTTGGTATAAACCCAAAACTTCCGGAATCCGAAATTTTTACTATTATTATACTCAACTTAATTACATTGCAGATGATTGGAAGTAATTACTTAGGATTATTTACAAAGTATCAGTTTTGTTTAGTAAAAAAAATGGAGTAGCCGAGAGAAAATGTAACAAGTTGTTCAAGATGTGCGAGGTTAATTAACTCATGACGTTTGATATCGCTACCCGCTACCTATAGATTTCATAACCCGCACTTTGTACGGGACGAGACAATCTTGTGGTGCAACTGTTGAGGGGATGTGACCCACTTAACATCATGGTGAACTGTGCTACTGATGGACTGAACTGTAAAATACCATTGGTAGATAGTGCTACAAGTGCACTGAACTACAATTTACACAGATTGTGCTATTGGTGCACTAAACTGCACTCTACAATTAGTTTGTCATACTACCTTCAGTTTCTGAAGCTATTCCCGATAGATAATATTATGAACAAAAAAAACGTGCATTTGAATTTATTTTAAATCGCTATATCAAAGTCGTTAAACAAAAACTTTCAAAGTATTTCATTACGAAACAGCTTTCCATAAAAAAAAAATGATAAAAAAGAAACTGATTAGTTTAATGAGTTTGTATTTAAGCTTTTTTTCTGTTTGCGCAATTTTTTGGCGCATTTTTCCGTTGTGTACTGTGCTAGCATCTCTAGACATGCTACCTCTTGCTACCCATCACCAATGATGTACTGTGCTAGCATCTTTAGACATGCTACCTCTTGCTACCTACCACCAATGACCTTCTATTCTAACTGCACCTTGTGCCCCACCTAGGCATACACCGCTATTTGCTATACAACAAAAAATTCTGCCAAAAAACACTTCGACGAATCTGAATGCCCGACCAAATCATGCCCCATAACTGCAACACACTTGTATATTTTATATTCCCGTTCAAGAGCCCTACGTAAACGTATCCCGTGCAAACATAGATGGCGCCACCACCAGTACACGGGCAGTAACTGCGGATAATACACGCCAAACCCAAAAATTACAAGTTCTGTTGGTCTCTTGAAATAAAATAAAAATGGGGTCGGGGAAGGATAAAAAAAAATTGCAGTCGGAATTTAAAATAAGATTTGCATTTCGCGATTGACCGAGGTTGTCTCGCATAACCAGATAACCAAAGCACCAAGAAATCCCGAATTTAGCGGCCAGATAGGCATCTGTCGTAGTTATCTCCCTTGAATTTAATTGTCCGAATGAGTTCCGTCCCTTGTGGATTTCTTTTTAAATTCATTTAAAAAGTTTTTTTACCCTAAAAATGTAAGGGTACGGGAAGGGCTTTGAGGCTGTGGGGATTATCTTTGTGGTGGGAGGGGGGGGGTGGGGGTAGACTTGGCTTATTTGAGCCTATCTTTGTTTACCGGACAGAAGAAGTAAAATGAGACGTTACGGGTGTCGGGTAGGGGTGGATTAGATTTGGCATAACAATGGCCGTCTAAAAGGGTATTTTTCTTTTAGAAAAGAAAAAAACTCGTCTGAAAAAAAAAGCATCTTATTATAGAGCTGTAGGGGAGTCTGATTGGGAGGTCCTATGGGAAAAATGTGATTATAAAGTCATCGGTGAAGTCTGGATTGACTTCATTCATTTTTTTCTCGCATTGGTTCTTTGCTCAATTTGTAGGAGTCTAGAGGATAATATTGTTGTCACATAGGAGCATCCTGTTACCGCACAGGACCTCTAGCTTGTAGGACAGTCCTGTTGTCACATAGGTCCCCAAAACTGTAGGACAGTCCTGTTGTGGCGTAGGTTCTCGGGTTTGTAGGACATCTCTAGAACCACAGAACCTTATTGGCAAGAATAAATTAACGTTCTTTACCAGTGGGTACTCCAGCCTACTGTATAGTTATCATAAACGCTGCTGTCATAAAACAGATCAACTCTACCGCACCTGCGCGGATTTCTACCTACACATTTCTCTCTGCACCTTTCTCTCTACATATTTCTACCTGCTCCTTTCTCTCTACACATTTCTCTCTACACATTTCTACCTACTCCTTTCTCTCTACACACTTCTCTCTACACATTTCTCTCTACACATTTCTACCTAAACCTTTCTCTCTACACATTTCTACCTACACCTTTCTCTCTACACATTTCTACCTACACCTTTCTCTCTACATATTTCTACCTACACCTTTCTCTCTACATATTTCTACCTACACCTTCCTCTCTACACATTTCTACCTGTTGGCAACTAATATCGTCAGCCAAACGTATACGTGTTTTAGGTCAGTTGTGTATTTTAAAAGAAGAGAATTTTTTTTTAACTTAAAAGAAGGCAAGATATTTTTATGTCTTTTAAGCTACTTTCGTTTAGCTATTACATAACTCGGATGTTTTCGTTGGCGTGTAAACGTGTGTTAAACTCTAGTGTATTGAGTTTCTTCACCAAGTGTAGCACACATTTGCTCTCAGTGTAGGCTACTTCTTAAGTTACATTACATTACATCAAACGTTTCTTTAATCTCAGTACAGTACAGTACAGTACAGTACAGTACAGTACAGTACAGTACAGTACAGTACAGTACAGTACAGTACAGTACAGTACAGTACAGTACAGTACAGTACAGTACAGTACAGTACAGTGCAGTGCAGTGCAGTGCAGTGCAGTGCAGTGCAGTGCAGTGCAGTGCAGTGCAGTGCAGTGCAGTACAGTACAGTACAGTACAGTACAGTACAGTACAGTACAGTACAGTACAGTACAGTACAGTACAGTACAGTACAGTACAGTACAGTACAGTACAGTACAGTACAGTACAGTACAGTACAGTACAGTACAGTACAGTACAGTACAGTACAGTACAGTACAGTACAGTACAGTACAGTACAGTACAGTACAGTACAGTACAGTACAGTACAGTACAGTACAGCACAGCACAGCACAGCACAGCACAGCACAGCACAGCACAGTACAGCATTTAGCAGCACTGCCGATGCTATAAAGCTATGTTCTTAGTTCAACCGTATGTCGGTTTACCACAAACAACCTTTCAAATGACAATCTCGTATGTCATATATCATCCTTTTCGACCTTTAATCTTCGTATAATCTATCATAACCCAGTTTTTCTAACACCGCCTAACCCAAAAATTAATAATTCTAATCCGTTTCATTTTCCCCCTCAAGAAATAGATGCGCTTGTTTTTTTTTAATGAGAAAAAAAATAATTTACAGATCATTAGAGATAGCTGGTCGTAATATCTAAACTCTAATAATAGCTTTCCGATCGATCATGTCTGTGGCTATAAATAGACGTCGACCGACCGGAAGTGACTAATCGTGGGAACCAGCCAAGCGAGAAGCCGACCCCTGGGGGGCTGTCCATAGGCCACTCACGGGCCGCTGGACTACTGACCGACGGGGCAAGTGAGTGACGTCAGACCACGCTCCCCGGCCGCAACAGTCACTGACCGCTGTCAAGGGGAGATGACCGGAGGAAGATTTATCCGTCCGGCTTAAGTGAAGCGGTCATTTAACCCCCACCCCCTCCCTGTCTCTTCTTCCCTTTACCCCCCCCCCCCCCCCCCACCTCTGTCGGGGGCGCACCTTTTGAGAAACAACTGTTCAATCACCTTGACATGGCGTAGATGCTATGACGTCAAAACCGATGATGAAAACTATTTTTTTTCTATATTTATATTGAATAAGGTGTGTAAAGAAATTATATGGGTGTGGGGGGGGGGGGATATAGGGGTTGTGGAGAATCCTGAATATTATGAAGATTATACAGCTTGGGGGGGGGGCACTTTATAGAGGGGGTTGGATTACATTTATAGATACAACTCTTCTAATACCCATGTCGTTGCACGTTTGTACGGACTTTCAAACGAAGTAAATTACAAACTCTAGCTTTGATGTTGACTGTAGTGGGCTACTGCCTCAGGGTAAAAAAAAAAAATCAGCGACTTCTTGTACGTCCTCCGACCGTTTGTTGTGATTGGTGCGGTGACAGTGTGTGGGGGACAGCGTGGGGGAGGACAGGTGATGACAATATAAAACACCAAACCTATTTCATGTTATTTTTGTGTGTGTGTACTCTTCCTTTGTTGGCCGTGCGTGCTTTATCGCGTTTTATTTGAAGTTGTTTCGTCCTCAGTGGAGTATTGAAGTTCGCGGGTTATTTTATTGCCGTATTGGTCACAGATAAGGCTAGTATTACATGACCTACTTAGGTATTAGTAGTAACTTGTGTCTTTCTATGTTGTGTATTCAGTAAAACTTGAAAAGTATCTCGTATTTTTTTAAAAAGTTGGATTTCTTTGATAGCGGAACAATAATGCTGTTTGTCAGGTCGTGATGTATTTGAAGGTGAACTTACAAGTGTTTAGTGAATACGGTTTTAATCA